ATAGTAACTACACATCCTCACCACAAGACAGGTTATGCTCACAGCTTACAAAAACAGAAAAGAAAAAATGTCTCAAAGAGCAGGAACATTAAACCAAAATAGCTAACACCATAAACTAACAAAAGACCCTTTTCTTACCCGCTGATTTTTCTTTTTATATCTCACTTTTCTCATATGCAGCAACATTTGAGCCTTGGATCGTCGTACACGTGTGCTCACACTCCACAAAATGCCTAATCCTTCCGTTGTCTAGGACCACCCACGATCAACACCCAAAATCCACTCCTTTCATACGACTTCGTTTCTACCTCGTCCCTCACAATGACAACCGGGAATTTTCTTTGTATTTTTTTTTCTGTTTCTAATGTGGGTTAGTTTAGATCAAATTTTTTAGAGAGAATAAAAGAGATTATAGGTTTGTGGGTTGTGGGTTCGTGAAGGTTGCAATGAAAATTGAAAGAGGTTGGATTGGGGTGTGGGTTAAAGGATTCAAAATGAAGAAAGAATACTGGAAAAAGGCCTAGTGTTTCTTTTCTTCTTTATTTTTTTGCTTATGGTCGAAATTGGTTACCTTTCGATAGGTTACGCTTCTTTTTCTCTTTCTTGAATTTCCTTCAATGTTTCTACGTTCAATTTCTTTGTGTTTCTCCATATTTTACCCTTGAGTGTTATTGCTGAGTAGGTTTTTAAATTTGGGCTTTGGTAATCCTGCAACACAACTAATTGAATCAGCCCAATCATATTTATAGTCTCTTTTCATAGACTTAACACCTATGATGACTGCGCATGGAACACTGACTCCAGTGCCTCCCTTCATGTTACTCCACATAAAGGCTTCTTCTCTTCATTCAAAAGCGGTAACTTCAGAGTGGTGAAAATGGGAAATCAAGTTACAAGTAAGATTATTGGAGTCGAAGATGTAACCCTAACCACAGAAGTCAGATGCCAACTTGTGTTAAAAGAAGTAACGCATGTGCCAGACATGCGTTTCAACCTAATCTTGGTAGGTAAACTTGATTATGCCAAGTTAGTGAACTACTTTGGAGGTGGAATATGGAAATTGGCCAAGGAAAACTTGGTAGTTTCCCGAGGCAAGAAAGATGGCTCCTTTCAAGCATATCCACAAAGATGAGAGAGCAAAACTTGATGTGAATACAAAAGAATGTATATACCTCGAATCGTTAATATGTAAGTTCGGATTCAGACTTTGGTATCCTGTCAACAAAAAAATAGTGAGAAGTTGTTATGTAGTCTTCCATGAAGACGAGACTATTGAAGACATATCGAAGCCCAAAGTCTGGGTTGATATCTGAAGTGAAGAACCCATCCAACCTGTCTAAGCTGAAGTAGGGGGAGAAAAAAAACCAAGAAAATGATGTAGATGACCAACAACAAGAACTACCTACTAAAGGTGATGCTAAAAGACAAGCTGAAGCAGGTCGTCTTGAGGTCCGAGATGAGAATGATGAGCCAGAATCTTAACCGAAAGTACAACTCAGACACTCTACTTGAGTGAGACAACCTTCTACAAGATACCCACCTGATGAGTACACAATTGTTGCTAAAGATGGAGAACCTCAAAGTTACGATGAGGCCATTACAAGTTCAGAAAAGAAAGAATTGGAGAAAGCAATGCAAGACGAGATGAAGTCCTTGCATGAAAATCAAACACATGGGTTAACCGAGCTGCCTCAAGGAAGACGAGCTCTGAAAAATAAGTGGGCTTATAAAATTAAGCATAAGGAGAGCGACCAAAAGATGAGATACAAGGCCAGAATTTAATGAAAGGCTGCAATCAAAAGAAATAGTTGATTTTGAAACAAAATTTTCTCCTGTTGTGAAAATGACCTCAGTCTAAACTGTATTAGCCTTGGTAGTATCAATAAACCTTAAAGTTGAACAAATGGACGTAAAGACTGCATTCCTTCATGGTGACCTTGAAGAAGAAATATATATAGAGCAACCTGAAGGGTTCCGAGCTTTAGGAAAAGAAGATTTGGTTTGTCGTTTGAAGAAGAGACTATACGGGTTAAAGCAAGCACCTCGACAGTGGTACAAGAAGTTTGAATCGTTAATGATCGAGCACAAGTTCATGAAGACGGAGGTCGACCACTACGTATTCGTTAAAAGATATGAGGCCGAAGACTTTCTAATTTTGCTTGTATATGTTAACGACATGCTGATTGTAGGGTAAAATAAATCAAGGATAGCCGCCCTGAATAAGGCGTTGAGCTCGTCCTTTCACAATAAAGGACCTCGACCCTACAAAGCAAATACTCAGAATCAAGATAATAAGAGACCGACAAAGAAAGATACTGTGCCTAAGTCAAGAAAAATATATTGAGAAAATTTTGAAGAGATTTAGCATGGAAAAAGCCAAGACAGTGAGCACTCCCTTAGCCGGACACATAATGTTGAGCCAAAAGTAACGTCTGGGATCAGATGAAGAAAAGGATGAGATGCTGAATATCTCGTACCAGTCCATTGTTGTAAGTTTGATGTATGTATGATATGTACGAGACCTAACCTGGCGTATGTTGTTTAAATGGTGAGCCGAAATCTATCGAACCTCGTCAAGGAGCACTGGGAAGCAGTCAAGTGGATCTTCAAGTATCTCAAAAGTGCGACAAGTTTATGCCTCTGTTTTAGAAATGGTAAGGCCGAGCTGCAAGGCTTTGCAGATGCTGATTTAGGGGAAGATGTCGACTTGAGGAAGTCGACAATTGGATATCTTAGACTTTTGCAGGAGAAGTTGTCTCCTGGCAATTAAAACTTCAAAAATGTGTGGCACTTTCAATGACCGAGGCTGATTACATAGACACTATTGAGGCTTGCAAGGAAATGTTGTGGATAAAGAAAATTTTTTTGTTGATTACAAGCTGAAATGTGACAATCAAAGCGTTATTCATTTAACAAAGAACTCAACCTATCACTTCTGCACTAAACATATTGATGTGAGATATCACTGGATCCGGGATATGGTGGAAGATGGACAACTTGAACTCGTCAAAGTGCACACCGACCTGAATTGATCTGATATAATGACCAAGCCGGTACTAGTAAGAAAATTTGAAGACTGTTGTGAAGGTGTCGGGCTGCTGAACCTGATGCATTAAAGTCGAAAGGGGAAGATTTGTTGGGGTGTGTTCCTACCTTTAATGCTGGTGGCTAAGGCATGCACATCATCTAGGAGTGCATGGCTCAATGTCAACCCAACCACCAAAATGAATGCTGCCCACTCAATCATTGATGAAGATTCTAGAAGAAGGTGGAAGTTCCCTTACTTTATATATACACATGAAGACCTTTGTAATATAGGTTAGCTAAGTTTTTGAGAGAATCCTCTGGAGAAAAGTTTGAGTGAGACATCTTTGGACAAGAACTTGTAACCATCATTGTTGGTGATGCGTGAGTGTACCTCTAGTGTAACTAGAAAAATTTGATCTCTTTCTAATCATTCTTCTACATAGTGAAAGATTTTTTGGACTAGTGTCCCGCAAATTTTACTCTTCTTCCTTAGGGGAGATTTTTCACGTTAAAAATTTGTTGTGTTTCCTCTCTGTTTTCTCTTTCTGTGCATTTTGTTTTGTTTTTGCGTATTGGTCGACCTAGTGATTTCAAGCTGACCTGTAAATGCCGAGCTCCGAGCTCGATGTACCAACTTATGTTTTTGCTTTGCGCTAATTTTGAGGGACCATGTCCCAACACTCCTCACAGAACAAAACTCTCACACTTTTATCCTCACTCACCCAACTCTCTTACTCTTTACCCTCTTCTCATCCTTCTAAATGAATTCATTGATTGCATTTCTCCACTCCAATGGTAGCAATTTAAAAGGTCCGGACGAAATAATGTCCAAAGGTGAAAAAAAGAACAAAACATATTAGACGCAACACAAGCTATAATATTTTGAAGAATAATGTTATATATATACTAGTCCTCCTAGTCCTCCATGCATTAACATTTTCTCGTTCACATTTTCTCACCTATTTTAAACTATACTAGTCCTCCATGCATTAACATTTTCTCGTTCATGCTCTTGGGTTTGATTAATGAGTTAAAAATTATCTTCTTCATTTGGTATCAGAGCTATGCATTTATGATTATAAGATCCAATTTTTATTTATTTATTAAAATAATTCTAAATTTACCTATAGAACCTAAAGTTCATGATAAAATTTCGTTCAGCGTATTCATTAAATTGTTTTGGGGCTTTTGAAAAATAAATTTTTAGTTAATTTCATATTTGATAATCCGATTTGATGTCATCATTAATTTCAGACCACGACTTCTAAGATAAAGTCTCATTGTTGCAAATTCAAATTGTACTTATGAGAGATAAAATATGTCAAATGAGGTGTCATTGCGTAGATCTCAAAAAGTTACGTAGAATCAAAAATAAAAATTACCTGATTCGGATACCCGAGTCAAAAGTTATGGCTTTCAGAAGTTTTACGATTAAATTTTTAATTTTTTGTGCCACGTGTCAACACCAGATGAATGACGCCTAAATTAGGCGTGACTGCCTCTTGAGTGACACCTAACTTAGGCGTGACTAGTGACACCTAATCCGGACGTGACACACTGTTATACCCCCGTAAATATTTTCAAAACAGCCATAAATTTATAATTTTTTATTTAAAATACAATATATTAATTTTTTGCCAGTGTTTATCCTGTGGTCAACCTTTTACCGCTTTGTGCGCTGACCCGGGACGGGGGATTAGTGTCATAGCTGCCGGCTGTGGGATACCTGATGCAAATAAAAAAAAAAGGAGTTCGGTCTACAAGGGATAGAGGAATGCGACCCCTTTCTCCGCGTTGAAAGGAAACATTCCAGCGCTCAACTTTTGTCAAATTACTCAAATCAACAAGAAAAAGTAATGCCATGCCTGAACTAATAAGCTGTCTGTATTTGATATTTGTCATAATATATTTTTCATGTCCATATATTCAATTATATAAATACTACCAATTGTGATGTGGTGGATGTTCCAAATTCTCAATTATTACGCTTTTAAACCAATGGCCTCTACATTTGCAAGAATGTGATCAAATTTCCTTCACACTTTGGCACCGTGTTACAGCAAAAGACATCAACCTCTAAATATAAATAGAGGATATCAAAATTAATACCCAAAGAAAAAAGACGAATACATGGATTCCTAACTAACATGATACATCACTATTAGTGGAAGTACAGTTACACAATAAATTTGCGCAGCCAAAACCCAAGAATTTTGGTATCTGATCCATGCTTAAATAATGGCATACTCGAGTGTCTCCGACTCCTTAGGCCGCCACTTGGACTTCTGGACACATAACAAGCCCTCCTTATCCTTGGAGTATGTCATGCGAACCTCCCACTGCATAGACCTTACCATGCTCTCAAGCTCGTCAATGATCTCAGTAGTGTCACGGACAATAAGCTTTCCTTCAGGCCTGAGAATCCGATCAACCTCAGCCACTATACCAGCTAAATTGCACCTATGTGACCAATAAGCAATAGCAAAACCAGAGTAACATTTAGTTTTAAACAAATCAGTTCACAAAAAGTTTGCTGGTGATAACTGCTGACAAATGAAATAATTATTTGCACCTTTTCTTAAGCTTTGAAAACAGATGATCTGCATGGAGGAGATCATAGGACCTAGGATAGGTGCTAAATGATTCGCACCAATCATGATATATACCAAAAAGACCTCGTTCATAAATAATGGGAAGAGTATCTGGGGAGTCTATTGAAACCACATTCATGACCCAAATATTCAAATCTCTCAAAGCTGCAGCAAATCTGGAACCAAAAACGGGGTGAAGATGTCAAACACAGGACATAATAGCAGGTAAATATAATTCAGAGTAACATTTGAAGCAATGACTTTTGCTCACCCTCCATAGATAGAGTTCATATCCATGACATTCCGTACATTTGCCCACTGAATTCCCATCCCGTTTAGATAAGATTTGGAAACTACGCGTTTCCAGTGTTTATAATCATCAGCAAAATCTTCAGGGGCAGGCTTTCCATAAACTCCAACTTGGGAACTTGATAACCAATAAGGTACTTTGGTCAGTCTTGCTGGCCATTGCTCTGGCCATTGTAACCCGCGTTCTGTTGAACTAACCGGCGCTTTGTGTATGCAAGCTTGCAATTTAACGTTCCTGTAACACCAAAGAGATCAGATTGCATGAATATGTTATAATAGTACAGTGTTATTGCAACTTTAGCAGATAAACATCACAGCGCAAACATGGTTTATTTGTAGCAGAAATAACTATATTCCTCCAACTGTACCAAAAGTGCTGTTTCATTTTATACAAATGTTCTTTGCTTCAGAAAAGGGAGGGAGGGAACGATAAAAAACAAATATGCAGCTTTGTTTTATAGTCAAAGATGAGTTCAGCATTAACTCGGTCAAAAACTTTTTCTTTTTCTGTTTTCATATTTGATTAAAAAAGCACCGGTGTCTCAGTTCAGGAAGACATACCATGCTGCATTTGGATCATCAGAGTCTTGACAAAGTGGAGGCTCATTCTTAGAGCGTTTCTCATAGCACTCATTAGAAGTTGGCTTCTTGTATATGGCTACACCAACTCCATTAACACGGTCCTTGCTGATTGATACAAGTTCCCAGCATATTGCTTTTGTTAATGCCTTCATGGCTGCAAATGAATTCATAAAATGTCAGGATCAATAAACCTACATTAAAATGCATAAAAGAGGCACAAATTAGTTTAGTTATAACCTACCATTCCAGATTTCAACATCTTCAGGAAGCTTCTGATAAATAGGAGTAGCAGACCATATGAAGAAACCGCCAGGTCGCAATACTCTATTCAGCTCCAAAAGAAGTTTTCCACCTGCAGTTTTACGATAATAATAATATCAAATAAGCCTCAAATATAGCCGTCAAATCAATAAATAAATAAGTAAAATAAAATAAAAGCCTCCAAAATAAACACAGTTGCATTTACATGTATTTTATGTCAGTACAATTTATATGTTGTCTTAAAATCTAAATGCCTAAATGAATCAGGTTTAAAAAATTTTATATAATGAATTCATCTAATCAATAAAATACAAGTTATGTAACCATAATACCTTCTATATGCCATGGAACTCTACATCTTGCACAATGGACTACATCAAATACTTTCCCAGGGAAGGGAAGCCTCTTTGTGCCCATCACAGCAGAAATAGCAGGAATCCCTCTTTCAAGCGCAAATTGTACCTGGGCTTCATGTTCATCCTTTGGTGCAAATGACATTGCAAGTACATCTCTTTCAAAGAGAAACCCTCCAAAGCTGGCAACACCACATCCAACGTCTAAGATAACACGTGTGCGTTTGCCCCAAGCAACGTCAGGTACAGACTGAATCATCAGAGCTTTATCAGGTACAACGTTAAAAAACATCAAGTAAACAAATTATAAAAACCTAGAGCAATTCTAGGATGAAAGCATAAAGATTTCTCATCATACTATACTATGTAGTATGACTCTCCTATTGTTCTAAAGCTCGTTTGTAGAATATCATGTGATGTAGCTATATATGTATTATTTTAAGTTTTGGTTGTCTCGCAGTGCACCGCTTACATATAGTTCCTACATTTTTGGATTTCTCCTGGCCATGTTTTCATCTTCTGTAGCTTAATTTCCTCCATTGACAGTTGGCACGGAAGGTCATTGTAGAACTTTTAAGCCTATTCAAACACCATAGTTTTGCTGCCATTTCTGTATCTTGTTTACTATTTGTTTCTTTGCCAGCACAGTGTGGACTCTATATGCAATTCCAACCAATTCAGGTCTAAACCCTAGCCCATACATTAAAAAAAGAATCATAATCATGTCAACATAGCATCAAATGATTTCTTTGCTCTGGGTATCATATTAAAGTGAAAAGTTATACAAGTAAATTTCATACCAGTTTACCTATGAGCTGCCTCCCATAAGCTTAGACCAAGAAGATTGTGCCTTCTACAGGGTGGAGTTTCCATTACAGTTTTTTTTTTTTTTTAACCTTTCTATTCTAATAATAAAAAAGGTTTTCTAGAGGCTACAAAAGTGAAATGATTTTTCCTTTTTAAGATACATGCCAATTTAGGGATTAAGTAGTCTATGTAGTATATATTAATCATAAAGTCTGAATGCATGCATCCTAAATACTTGCGCACATACAAGTCATAAGGACGTTTGTGGCATCTACACCAACAGTGTCCTGATCGTCCTTTTTCTTTTTTGTTTCATTTCTCTTAAAATAGTGTTTGAATTAAAATCATAATTGGAGGCATAAAGAAATAAGCAGAGTGATGGAAACTTAGATATTGGATGAGAAATTTGCTCGGAGGGAGATAGAATGGGATTGGTGGATACTGCAATTGTTACTTAACATGTAATATCAATTTATGGAACACACGGCAAAAGTTATACATCCATATATATATATGCATGCATTAAAATTAAGAGCAACAAAATAAAAGTCAACTTTGAACCAAAAAAATAATATATATTTTACCTCTTGTATGAAGTCAATGTAATGAAGCGCCCCATGCTTGAATTGGGTTCCACCACCAGGAAAAGTAAGGTACTCGCCTGTAACTTTCACCCAATTCTGGTGCCCCTTAACTTCAGCAAGCTTAGTGTGTGGAACATTGTAATACCATATCTGCACGAGAATAACTTAATATTTTTCAAAATGGTAAAAGGTAAAATAGAGAATGATAATTGACAAGATTTGAGTTGATTTCTACCTTCTCTCTGCTTCTAGGCCACTCAACTGAGCGTTTATATCCTTCAGGAAGAGAAACAAGGCAGGTAGGAGGTTCTTCGGGACAGTGCCTTTCTCGATGCTCATAGTGTTTAGTACTCCGAAGACTCCTAATTGCTTTCCAATTGTCAAGGCATGGGATGAAGTCGGGGCCAGCAGTGACATTGCAAAGTTTCCAATTGTACCCAGCTGGCTGTTTGGAGGATTCTTGAGACTCCTTTTCATTCTTTGACTCTGCTGCTTGAGTTTCCCAAGACCCATTTTCTGTTGTAATCTCATTTTGAAGCTCTGACTGGGCCCCAGAAGGGTATACCTCGTTTGAACTCTGTTCTTTGGCATTATCATCTGTATTCTTCTCACTAGAGCTTTCATCAGATTCTTTGTTATCACTTTGTTCCACCTTCTCCTTTATCCTACTATCTATTGTTTCATTAGAGTTATCAGATTTATTTTCACTTTCATCTGACTCAGACTTATTGTTATCATCAGATTTAGATTTCTTTTCACTCTCATCAGATTCCTTAGAGGAAGTCTCATCAGTATCGTTGTTATTTTCTGTAGTTTCTGAGTCTGATTCAGTATTTTCTGTCTTGGAACCTTCGTCCTCTGTTTTCTTATCTGCATCTTCTGTCTTTGAATCTTCAGAAGACTTCTCTACAGGATTTTCCTCCAACTTCTCTTCTTGTTTGTCTGGCAAGATAGAGTTGTCTTCAGACGTGACATTGCTGTCCCCCTTGGTAGCATCCTCAGGCAAATCACCCGGATTATCTTCAAACTGCCGAGCATTGCTGTTATTGATGTCACTCACCTGTTCTTTTACCTCATTCTTATTCTCCTGAGACACGTCTCCATTTTGCCCAGGAACTAGAGAGGATGATGTCATCATCCAAACACCCACCAAGCATAGCGCCACAAAGACAACAATAGTCACTGTTGAACAGTAACCCGATGATGATCTTCTACCATCTACTCTAGCATATTTCCCTATAGCCATGTTGTCAGATGGAATTCACAGATGATTTATACCTGCTCACGAACCAAACAACAATTAATCACCACTCACATTGTTTGGCCAGCAGTGGCAACTGGCAACACACACAGTGTGCTTGGTTGAGTAAGTGAACAGTGGAAACACGAAAACTAGAGAACACAGTGAAAAATATTTTTCAACAGTCCATCAACCAAAAAGCAGTAGATGTCATTTTCCACCTTTCCATATTTTCCTTAACCAAAACAAGCACAAAGCGCAAGCCCTTTGCACACCAAATTGCTTGCGCAAGACTAGTTAATAAAATCAAACACACAAAAAAAAAGCTAAACGAATATAATGTTCAAATCAGTAAAACCTGGAGGATTAGACAAAAGTATATCAGATAAAGGTGAGATAATAAAATCACAATACGAAATACGCGGATCAGAAAAACCACATCGTATTTTTTTACATGAAAAAACATCAAAATTCAACGTCAACACAGATTCTCAAAACGAAGAGCAAGGATTCAACAACAATCACACGGATCTAGATTCTACACCAATGAATCAGCACGGTCAGCTCATTAACAAGCACTGAGGAAAAGAGCAAGACCGTAAAGTTCAACCAACAGAAGAAAACGGCAGAGTGTGAATCAAAATACACAACTCGAAAGGATTAATACGATCTAAGGCTTATAAATTCTGAGTTCATACCTCTCAGCGTTTTCAGATCTGAGACAGAAGAGGAAGAAGAAGGTGCTATCTCTCCATCGTGTTAGCGAAGAGACAGAGAGAGAGGGTAAATGAAAGCTGTTAGCGAGTGTAAGAATAAGAGGTGGATTCTAATTTTAATAGCAGAGAGAGGAAGCGAGAAAAGAGACTTTAGTCGCTGCTGGCAGAGTAGCAATTGCTAATTCAATTTCTTCGGGATTTGATTTGCCGACGAAAATAGATAAAACAATATTCGAGAAACGCGTTACGAGAGAGAGAAAGAATGTGTAAAATAATAAATAAAGAAAAAATAATTTTAAAAAGTCAAAAAAATCAGAGACCGTAATGGAAGCGAGTGCGCCAAATGGAAGCGGTGTACTAAGGATGAGAGATAAAAACATTTGCGTAGTGAGCTAAATAAGGGTCACAAATTACAATTCGCACGATAGATTCACGGCATATTGTCCTGAAAAAAAATTTGTATCCGACATATGATATTATTTATTATATCATACGATACATATTACATATCTTACGAAATCAAAATTAAATTAAAATATATAATTTGTAATATAAAAAAATAAAAATTTAATTTAGGATTAATATCTATACAAAATTATCATTGATAAGAAAAAAAATTGATTTATGATTTAAACTTAAAACTTAATTTGAAAAATTTGTATTAATAAAAAAATAATTATATAAATATTTTAATATTTATTTTTAAATTATTTTTTATTATATTTCTGTATCTTACGATTCGACATGATTTACGATACACATAATACAAAAAATTAATTAAATAATACACCATATGTATTGTGATTCAACAACTTTGTGCTGGAATAATTTCGTACTGCTGAGGCAATTCTTGTAAATATATATCAACATTAACAAGAGTTCATTTCCTTTTCTTCGGTGAAAGAATATCATCTTTTTCCTTTTTTACAAATTTATAATATTATAATATTGCAAACCTTGTTTAGTCAAGCAAATTTACTCATTTATTTAAATTATTTACGTGGCTTAAACTTAACTTACGGTGGTTTTCTTTTATTATTGATGTGGTTGTTGGTTTTTTTTTTTAAATGAGGAAATTTTCTATATATCGTCGTTAAAGTAAAAAATAATAATAGCAATAATAAAGATGGCCGATTGACTACTGCAAGTTAAAAAAAAAAAATAATTATAAAATAAAATAAACCTTCCGTATTATATATCTCTTAAAAGTATTGTTTCTTTTTTATTATTTATAACATCAATCAAGTATTATTTTTTTATTTTGGTATTAATAAGTCAATTGTAATTGTTTTTAGGGTTCAATGTTTTTTAACTATAAATGCTTCAGTCAATTGTAATTGTTTTTAGGGTTCAATGTTTTTTTTATGTTGTAGGAAATAAATTTATATTCTTTTTTTTGGAGTTACCCAATCCTAATTATCTCTTTGAGACGAGTTGGCTCCCTCCGGTATCCCCACGAGCTTCGACTCTTTGAGCCGGCTATGGGACTAATCCGGAGTGCGGGGGAGCAGTGATGGCTAAGGGTTCAGCCCCCTCCCCAAGAATACATTCAGCGGGAATCGAACACATATCCAACCCCATTAACTCAGCGTCAAGTTACCAACTGAGCTGCACCTATTGGGTATAAATTTATATTCTACACACATATAAAAGTATATGAAATTCATGTGGATCCATACAAAAAGAAGAAAGAGAAAGACAAAATATAAACCTTACATACTTTTATGTATATAAAAAATAAATTTATATCTTATAATATGAGAAATATTAAAGCCTTGTTTTTATTCAAAATTTATAATTTTACACAATAACCTCAAAAGACAAATGAAAAAAATGAGTGAAGGAGAAATAACATAAACAAAGGAGAACTGTGATTCGATGTTATGGGTGCTTTTCGCCGGCATTTAGTGGAATAGGGGTTAAGAGTTTTGAGGTTAAATATGACTTTAAACTTGACGAAGGGGAAGAAGAGGAAGGAAGACGGAGGAACACCGATCAAAATGTTATTGTTCACCAATTTTTTTTAATTTTTTTATCTAAATACTACGTGAACAGTGTTATTTTTCAATCTGTCACGGGACAAGTTCGCTATCCGATGTAGCGAACTCCGTTTACTGATGTGTCACATTTCTAGTGGATAACAAGTACCAAGTTAAAAAAAAAAAAAAAAAATTTGAAGTTCGCTACATTGGGTAGCGAACTTGGTGTTCACTAGAAACGTGACACGTTAGCAAATCGAGTTCACTACACCGGGTAGCGAACTTGCCCCGTGACAAATTGAGAAATAATACTATTCACGTAACATTTAAGTAAAAAAATTGGTGAACAATGATATTTTGATCACTGTTCCAAAGATAGAAAAGGGGTGAAATGAGAAGTGCCTTAAAAGTGGATTGTAGAATAAGGGAGCGAACGGAGAGTAAAAATATGAAGAGATAACATGTGCTGTTTGGTACTTGCATATGAATATAGATTAAGAAATTTTATAATATTTAATTATTTATTAATAAAACTGAGTGTTAAAAATCAAACTATATGATCACGAAAGCTCTATATCATATAAAGAACTAAGACAATTTAATAATTTAAATTATTTAATAAAAACCAAATAAATAATTTTATATTATATTTATCTAACAATACACACGAGGCTTTTCATAATTGCTATAGCGAAGATTAATTGTTGATATTTATAATTATTATAAAATAAAAATATATATAGATTCATTGTTTTAATAATAATATAAAAGATATCTATAAAAAAATTTTTAAAAGGGAGGTATTGCTAAGTGCCCTACAACTAGACAAAAATATTCAAACAACCAGAAGAAGTTTGATTTTTAGCGCTTTGACCAAAGGCTCAGTGGTACAGAGCAGAATCAACAAACAACCGACTTCATTAGACGCAAGTCCACTAAATTTTTTTTTTAAAATCTTCTAACATAACGATTTAAATTATTTTTAAAACTAATTTAATTTATCATATTGAAAATATTGCTAGATTTGGATAACTTGGACCTGGACATATTCGCTTCAGAACCGAATTTAAAATCGGAAACGATGTGATACTCAGCTCACATGGGTCGGACATCCGTCCATGCACCTCAGAGAGTAAGATCTCGAACGTGATATGGCCATACTTTTTTTTTGTATTAACAGTTGTTTTTAGAGAGAATGAAAATTGTTATGCAATATATCCATATCTTAATCGCCTATCCCATAAATGTCTTAATGTATAATGACACAGTTATCTTGATAGCATGAGATGATAAAGATAAAGAGATAAAGACCTTATCCCTACAAATATAAAGTTAAATCGTACATCAATTGAGAGATGTACGCGGTCCAGGTCCAAGAGATGTCCTTATAAATAAAAGACTAAAGGTCTCATATATATTTTTAACATATTTACTGTTATTGTCAATACTATGCACACACCCACGTCTTGACTATAAGTTTATTGCTTGTACATATTAATTGGGATATTAACTATAAATCAATCAAAACATTTGTCTCTAAAATATCTCTGAACACATAGAATTCCACGGTGCTTTAGCACTGAACAAAAATAATACATGTGACCAAATGGTGGTAGCTCAGTTGGCGCATGGGAGCTAAGCAGGTGGAGGTGAGAGATGTGTTAGAATCTCTCCAGTACCATCTTTGATAGGAGTTTAAAGCCTTAATCTTGGACCGGCCCCGAATTAGATTAGTTGCAAAACAATGAACCGATTGAAATATATAAAAAAAAAATTATAAATGTGAACCGACGTATAATCCAAAGTGTGTGAGATCTGGACATGTAAGTTTGGTAGCAATACATTTCATATTCGTAGGAGGCAAGTGTGTGAGATCTGGAATATGACCTCATTCAATACCTAACGTGCAGATGCGGTTTTGCTTTTTTTTTTTTTTTTGGTATTCGTGGTCTTGCATTTTTGATATGACATTCAACCCCCCACAAATGTCAAATGTATATAATAACGGTTTTTTAAAAAATAAAGGGAAAGAAGTTCTCTCCCATATTAACGTTAATGATATTTATAAATTGTTTATCAAAATAAAATTGCTTAGAAGATCTATACCTTTTACAAAGTATAGCCAAACAAAAAAAAATTAAAAAAGGAAACAATATAAATGAGATATTCCAAAATAATATAAAGGGAAAACATCTATCCTTTTAAAGGATATAAGTTTATATCATTTTAGATCATAACCGTTGATTTCCGTCCATCAACGGTTATAATCTATTGGGCCAAACTTAATGGGCCAAACTTATTATTAATTAATTAATAATCTTGATTCAATAAATTATAACCGTTGATGGACGGAAATCAACGATTAGGATCTAAAATGATATAAGCTTATATCCTTTAAAATGACAGATGTTATTCCCTAATATAAAATATCATCGAAAAAAGAAATTTAACATTGACTATAATCATGATAATTATATATCTCGAAAATCAGATATTACCTCCAACGAGATATATATATATATATATATATATATATATATATATATATATATATATAGTGAGACTTATGAGATTAATTTATACTGATTACAAGAGCTTGAAGTATATTTTCCAACAATGCAACTTAAATATAAGGCAAGGGAGGTGGATGGTGTTAGGTCTCATACCTTGTCTAGTTTTGATGATAACAAATAAGTGAAGCCAAATTATCTAATAGTTTGTTTAGGTTTTGAAAAAATTGTTGCATGACTTAATTTGTGATGAATTATGATGACAAGACTGTAACAAAATTGTCATGAAATCATGAAGATCGAAGTTGTAAGATAAAATATTAGATTTCATATAATGGTTGGATGAGGTGAATCATGATCATACCTTGGGTTATAATCATTAAAGTTTTGGAAACTAAGGAAAAAAGTTTAAAATTTTTATTTGTAATCCAAATAGATTTTTAAGATTTGGTTTTTGATTTGAAAAAGAAAAAGTTAATTTGAGATTAATTTCCTTTTTGAAAGATTTGATTTTATCTAATGCAGTTTTGTGAGTCCTTGTTAAATAGAGAGTTTTCCTTAGGATTTGATTTTGATAAAAAGCCTATAAATATCATACCTTGAGTCCTTGTTCAAAGGTTTTGTGAGCATTCAAGAGAAAAAACACATTATGCATATTATGAGTATTTCTTCTTAAGGTGCATTCAAAATAATTTGGGAACCAAGGGATGAGCAGATTTATTGAGTC